TGCAGAGCGGTTGGTGTCTGAAGCTGCGAAGTCCACATACACTACCCCGAGTGCCCCCATCCTGTGCTCAGCTCGTGGCCACCGACAACCAGCCCAAAGGCACGGGGCTGCGGCACGCCTGACGCTGCTGTGCCTCGCTGGGGTGCCCGGAGCTGGGGTGACTCCTAGCCATGCTGCCCTCGGGATATTCTATGTGGACTTCGCAGCTTCAGACACCAACCGCTCTGCAGAGCAGAGCTCTTACCTTCTTCATTCTCACCAAAGGGCAGCGACTTGCTGGAGGTGTTTGCTCCCATGCTGCCTCCCGCCCAGAATCAGCTCTCCCGCTCCTCCCCCTGACGTTTCTCCTACGAGCCCGGCGTGTGCGGGGCTGTCATGCCGTGGGTCACTGCTGGTGGGCCCGCGGCGCGGTGCTCTGCTGGTGCATCCTGGGGAAAACAAGAGGCAAAATGTGTCACCACCGAGGTTTGAGAAACACTTCGCAGCCCATACATTTCCTACTGAACACTGAGAGCTCTGGGGACAAAACTGAGAATCAGAAAAAGCACAGCAAAATGGACCTGAGCTGAGAAACTCAGGAAAAGTGTAACCTTGCCTCCTTGACCAGAGCAGCTGCCTGCTGAGTGAGGTGAGGTACAGAGACCAGCAGGGCAGCGGCCTGAGGGCGTGCCTTGTGTTTGCAGCATCATCTAACGCATGGAGCTTTGCAGCCCCGGTGATGTTATGACCAATTTAGAGATGATAAAGCATGACTAACCGTAGCGATGTCAGTATACAAAATTAATGACTTGGCTACATGAAATCAGAAAGGCATTTTTGACCAAGAAGGTTGCAAGAAATTCTAACAACTGTACAAGGAACTCAGTGTCCACCTTTTGATTTAAACGGCACAGGTTTTAATTTCCCAATTCTCACATGGTTCTTGTAGTTCAGTGACATTAAAGATTGCTTTCACAGACTTATGTGGGCGCAGTGGCAGCTTTGATTTTTAAAGCATTTACATGAGTGATCTTTATATGCTTGCTTTGCTATGGACATCCATGTGAAGCACACAGCATTTATTTCTGCTTGTAAGCCTGTAAAAGATTGAAATGAAGGAGCAGCAATGCAGCACAATCTGGACTTTGTCCAACCTGGAGTACTTTCCAAGACATTCACATTTCCATTGAACATCAGGGTGCAATGCAGCTTATTCATTTTTTCTCAGACGTACACTCTGGAAACACTGAGCAGCTTTGCTTTTTTACCTGATAGTAACAAAATCGTGCCAATGATACACAAAGGGAGAGATCATCCAAAAAAGTGTTGGTGAAAAGGTAATTATTTGCACCACGCAAGGAATGAGGGCTGCCATTGATTCCACACACCAACTCAGCTCCTCCCCAGTGAACTTCAGCTTTATCTCTGCTGCTCAGCCAGGAGCTCAGCTCCAGCCTCGTGCCCTGGGTCAGATCAGTGACCTTAAGCAAGTGCCGAAGCTGGTCTGAAATTTAAAGCTACGTCTGTATTCATGGATCTTCCCGCACTGCTCTGCAGGGATGCAAAATCCATCCCCATCGTTGCAGTCCTGGGAGTCCATCCGCGGCTCAGCCACACGCTGCATGCAGCAGGGTCTGCCACGCCTCGGTCAGATGGAGCTGAGAGGTCTCCCAGCACTCCCCACATCTCCTCAGCACTGCCAGGGGCATCTCGAACAAAGCAGATGCAGCTCACAGGGTGTTTTACAAAGCCGAATGCAGCCCACCGTCCTGCTGTGGCTCACACAGCGCTCACGATTTGTAGCAAAGGTCAGGGAAGCTCACAGTTCACAACCCTCCTCCCCCTCCGAAAAGCAGTTTTTAAAGAAGGTGAATTCTTGACTTCTCACCTGAAATGTGATCAAACAATAAAGCAAACAAAACAGCAGATGTTTATGATACCCCTCAATGGAACAAACAGTGCCATCAGTCTGGAACAAAATTACGCAAGCACGTCTTTCCAAGCTCCAAAACTTGTGCTTCAAAGTAAAAATACACCTTGAGAGATAAAAACCACAGGTCAGTTCTGCACACAGATGCTTCTACATCAGAGATCTCATCGGTGGCACCAAGGTCGTCTGCTCTGGGAGGTTTGCTTGTGAAGGAGTCTGTAGCTTAATTTGTTTTTGAAAATACATTGATCTAAAAGCTTTGGGGAAGGGCTACAGGTATTCCTCAGAGCTAAGTGGTCTGGATAGCAGTTACTAGGATTTGTATCTTTATAAGAGGTACTCAACATATACACACTCAACAGTGATAAATCTTTCCCTATTTCGCAATGCAAATTCACTGAATGATTAAAATCATTATTTTCATTAATGCCTTCATGTTTTGTTCTCGGAGCACTCGTGGCTCTGCAGGCAGAGTGGCAGCAGCTCTGTCCATCAGGGAGCAGGCAGTTTCACTCAGTTACAGCCATCACTGTCAGGCAGCTACTGAGCTTCCTCTGAAGAGGACCACTCGTGGGGATCCAGGAATTATTTCTCTCATCAGCACTCGATTGCCAAAGTGGTGGGATGCTACTGTTCTGTTGAGCAGATGGAACTGTACAGTAACATTACAACACGCTATTACTTCAGTACTGACATCTCTGTCCCACAGAAACTAAAGATTATTTGGAACACTTGTGCAGCTGCAGGGAAGTTCAGAGGAGGAAAGCAGATATTGCTCAGTGTCATCTTTGTTTCTTGCCCTGTTGCAGCCCTTCACCTTGTAGCACAACTTCCCTACTGCAGAAAGTGACCAAGTTAATGGTCACATGGAAAAAAGAAAATATTGCAAGCTGCAGAACCGCACGGGAGACCCCATACAGAACTTAAGGGAAGATAGCGGGGGACACAGAGCAATGCTGAAGCAGACCCGTCAGGAGCCCCAGAGATAAAGCGAAAGAAAGCGCTTACCTCGCGGGAGGGGAAGAAGCGGCAGCGAGACGGGGCGGCGGAGCGGCTGCAGCTGCGAGAAGGCGAATGGTGCCGCGAGAGGATGCGCTGGGATGCGCTGGGTTGGGTCCCCGCCTGTGGCAGGAGAGCTGCGGGGGGTGGGGAGGCCGAGCCCAGCGGGGCGCGGGGCTGCGGGTGCGGCGCCGGGACCGGCGCGGAGCGATTTGGCAACGGGGCGCGGCTGCGGAGCTCCGCCGGCACGGCGCGGCTTTTGTCCTCCTCCCAGATCAGCAGTTTTCAGCGGCCCTGCGTGTGGCGTTTCCTGCGACGAGAGAAGGACGATCCGGTCGTCCGCCACAATGGAAAACGTTTTGACAATTCGAGATGTGTTTGCAAACTATTCCCTTTGTTGCTGCCTGTCTGGGTTTTATTTCTTCTTTTTAACTCGTGCAGTGCCAGAGATTTTTACTGCTTTTATTACGAGAATGTTCAGGATTCCATCCCACTCAGGTAGGTGCACTACATCGCAAAGCAAGGATCTGTCCTCTTCGAGAAGGGATTGGCCCCGCAAGGCGCTGATGCTCCATTACTTCTCTAGTTTCGAGCACTGCCCACCTCCCGTGCTTTGCATGATTTGGTGGGACTTCACGGTGTGAAGGCGAGCAGGACCCTGTCAGAGACAGTCTGGGTTACTCTGCTCGTGGCACTGCCGAGTCCCGGTGGCACCTCTGTCTGCTCTTCCAAACTCGTTCCTATTTGAAAGACTCCTGTAAAAGGGCAGAGACCACATTTCTTGTCCTTTTGCTCGTGTTCTTTAGGTACTGACTTCTCTCTCATTCACAAGATCTTGGCATGTGCTTGTACCCCTGGGGCTCCCAGGGAGAGCAGCTCTTCCTCCAGGGCAGCTGAAAACGTCAGAGTGATTAATCCAAATTTAACTGCCTTCATTTATTACTTGGAGAAGAACCAACGAGCTGAAACACATATTGGGTTCCCCTGAAACGATCTGAATTTTAGAGAAATGCACGAAATCAGATTGGCTCATAGATGAGCACAAGGGCTGAAAAAGAAAGCAGAGCTGCGTGCAGCGGTGCGGCTCCCACCCGCCACTGAGCAGCGGAGGGCACTGCTCGTCTGCCCCTGCAGAGAGATGAAACAGGATTGATTTTCCATAGGAGACAGGGAGCCCAATCTCTTCTAGGTGAGACTGCGTTTAATCTCCATTAAGAGAAGGCACATTCAAAAAAATAATAATTTCCTCCCCCTTTCCCCAGTTTGCTTCAGACAGCAATTGAGCTCTCTTTGAGGAGTCAGAACTGCGAGGCGGGCAGCTCGGAGCCGCGGCTCTCCGATGCCGCCCAACGGAGCAGAGGCGAAGCGGTCCCTGCGCTCTGGAGGACCCCGCGGCACACCCAGCGCTGCCCGCTTTCAGCTGCGCACCCTTCCCCGTCCCCTTCCCCGTCCCCTTCCCCGTCCCCATCTCCATCCCCATCGTCCCTTCCCCGCCCGTCTGCAGCTTTGCACGCACAGCAGAACGAAATGCTCCAGAGGGGCCAAGAGAGCAAAGAGATTAGAGAAAAACGTTTTATTTTCGTTCACTCTTCTAAAAATTTCACTGTTCAGCCAATTATGAATTATTTTCCTTCAGGAACCAAACTCACTTTTAGCAATAGCTTGCCAAGCCCAGGATGCTTAACCTCATTTACAGTATGTATTTTCTGGAACATTAAACCCTAAAAGGATTGAAACTTTATTCAGCATCCATATCTCAGCTGCAACTCTCAGCAATGTTTAACATTATGTCTTCCACAGACCGTGTTTTAATAGCCATTGCTAGCCTGTCATGGTTTGAATGGGCTCACTTTAACAAGCACCCAAAAAAGATCGAAGCGCCCATGCGTCCCCCAAGGTGGGGGAAGGAACAGCACTATTCTTCTGAAGGGTCTTTAAAAGTCATCAGAGATTGGATTTGCTTAAGAAAAATCTTGAGAGGAGACTCCTTCTCCAAGGACACGGCTTCAAGTATGACTGCACAAAAACATCACTGTCTTCCGCAACTCTTATGAGCCAGTGCCAACATTGCGCTTTGGCTTGAGTAAAGGCTTTGGAAAGCTCTAGACAGAGATGGATAAGCTGAACAATGAGAAGCCCTGTTAGGCTTTGGAGGTTTTTTATCATTAATGTGACAGATACATTTACACCCTTCATCCCCAACAATCAAGTGGCCCGCGTCTCTGGGCTGCACAGTGCGGCTCCTCCCACAGCCAGGACGACCTTCTCTGGGTAGTTCCAGTCATCTTACACAGCAGCTCGACCTTTGTCCTCTCTTTAACCCTTTGCTCATCTCCCTTGATTCATATGAAAGCAACAATGAATTTCCCAAAAGCTTTGGCAGGGAAGGCTCCTTGCTGACTTCT